CCACTGCTTAGATGGTGGCTTGCTCTGCTCTAAATAGCGACCCCCTCTACGGTCCGTGGGTCTTTTGGAGAAGATAAACAGTCAAATTCATTGACTAATGTAACAAACTTATTTTCCACAGAGTATTGTTGTTAAACAGACATTATGCTACAGGTGGCATAAGTTCACAGCATGTTACCAAATATATTGTGTTGTCCAGACAGGGTAAGAGGTTCTTTACCAGTTAGAAACAACTGAGAAGCTAAATTTCAGGGTCACTCTAATCCATATACTAACTGATTTGCTCCATAGCTAGAAAGCTCACCAGTTAATTGCAATGTTTTTATTCAGGTTGAGCTTCCATTCATACAGGCTTTCTGAGCTTTTGTTTTTTGTTTTTCCCCCTTTTTTTTTTTGTTTTGAGGAATGGGCTATGTGGGCTTTGTGTTGTCTGCTTTGGATTCATACTATGGTAATACTTCTAAGCAGTGCATAAATAGTGTAGTATGTTGCTGTCCATGATCTATTCAACTTTTTCTTCAACGGTGACCCATAACCAGTAGTACAGTACTGAGTGGAACAAAGAATATAGCATTTCTGTAGCATTTTATACAGCATTACTGCTAAGGCTGTTAGGTTTTAACACATTCAATAATAACAGTCTAGCCTTGTATTTTATCTCTATTCTCTTACTTTTTCACTAAGCTATCAAAACAGCAAGTTTACTCTAAAACTATAATAATTTAATCTTATGGTGATTACACAAGCATATATTTATATATCTTTGGTTTTTAATAATTTTACTCCCTCCTCCTGAAGTTCTGTTCTTTCCATATTTACTCAGTTGCAACAATTACAAAACAAATTTATTTGTAAACAAATAACCCAGACAACAGTTCAAGACAAACAGAAAGTAACAGGCGAGATACTAACACAAATTAAATAAAACTTCTACTTTAAAAATAAAACAAAATTTTGTTACAGAGAATAGAGAAAACTCCCCAAATTTGTCACTGAGTACACAATTGTCAATAAATATTAGCTAATGAACTAAAGTTGAGTCCTTGAAAGAATTCAGAACTACTGCCTCAAATGATCTCAGCACACAAACTTGCCATGTATTTATGACTGAAACCTTGCACACAGTCTGTAATTATATTGTTTTATTGCAGCAGTTGTCTCAAATGCTTGCAACAATTATATGGGATTTGACACACCCAAGTTACCACCTAGATAACTCAAAGTGTGACCACTGTTCCAAACCTTCTTTATAACTAATTTCATGCAACAACTCTATTGATTAGAATGACTGCAGAATGAGGGGTATCCAGCATGTGGCATGTGTACTCAAGGCCAGATTAAAATGTAGTAATAGTCACGCCAGTTAAAGACTGTATAGCTGAGTGCCAGCTTGGCACTGATATTAAACCGCTCAAAAAAAAATATATTAGGGAAATCTTTCCTACAGTACAGAGATGATGGATATTCAGAGTCGGTATCCCCCTTTACCTCTCAGGTGACATCAATACAGTGATTAAAAAAAAAACAAAACATCAGTAAGCCGGTGGGTAGTTCCCTTCAGCAGTACTACTTTAATGATTCATAGGAATTAAAACATTGCAACTATCAGTACTCTCTGGTGGCTTTCACAGAGAGCTCTCTGGTCCTTCACCGAATCTGTCCTTAAGGTTGGGGTTTGGAATTCTTTATTCGCTTTCTACACTTAGTGAGCTGAAAACCACAAATTTTTCAGTTCATTTAAAATACTACACACTACCATCAGTTCATTATATAGGATGTGTGCAACACATTTAAAATAAAAACCTTGTGAAAATATTTAATAGGAAAAAGTAATTTTAAGTGAAATCATTGAAATAACATTTATGTAAAGGAGTAATTATGAAAAAGTATTTCTGACACTTTTTAAACTTGAAAATAAAGTGTAATAAAACCCTTGCTCATTACATAAACACAAAAGAAAGTGAACGCTATTCATAATTTTAATTCAAAGTCAAATATCACAATATTTTCATTGCATACAGATATACTGGTCTTAGGAGAGACTGTCTAGATATGCATCCTTCAAGATCACATTCAATTAGCAGTCCTACAGCTGCTGTTTAGGAGACATCATCATCCTTCTAAAAAGACATCCAGTTTCACATGAACTTTTTGAATCCCACAAATTTTGGTAAAATGTACAAAAACATTCACCATTAAAAAAAAAATCTCATTGAATAGTGAATCTGCTGACATTTTCATTTGCAAGATTTTGAGTAAAACTGAGTGCACAAACTGAATAAAAACTACAATTAACCAAATTATCACAGCTCCACTGCAAGTCACTGTAGTGTGAAAAATTAAGACTTATTTAATTATGCAAAATTTCAAGTTCTGCTTTTTCAACACAGTGCCCAAAGAGAAGCATGGGTGGATCTAGCCATTTCACTCAGCTAAACAAAAATATTAATGAAGAGAGAAATATCATGAATAAATACTGGACAGATTAAAAGAACCAAACAGAATGTCCTTACAGTATGAAGCCACAGAAGCAAAGTAAATCCTTGATGGGTTAACCAAGTCTGAAGACATTTAAAGTGAGTAATTTTTAATAGATTCCAGTACATTATCAGAAGCATGCAAAAAGTTATTAAAAAATTAACTGCTTCTACTCTTCAGAATACAAGTTCCAAAGTTGTTTTATTAAAACGTCCATTATATACGGTTTTAGATTGCATGCTTATCTGCCCACACAAAAATCAAACCAAAGTTTTACAGTTTAAATTAATATACTTCTGAATAACAAAAGTTGAAGTAAGATGGTAAGGCTGGGGAGAAAAGGTCATTATGTGCCTGCCTGCCTTATGTTCTACAGTGGCTTCATCCATCTTAGAAAATAAGACAGCATTGCGCATGAATTGAGGACAAAAATAATTACACGGTCTGCTCACATCCTAGAGAGAGCGCTAGAAGAAAGGTGGCTTCCTTCATTCTAAATGTTTCCTACTCTTCAGGAAAGCACAAGCATAATCCCTTTGATCAAAATGCATTTCAAATAGATGACAAAGACTTACTGCCGGCCAACAGGTGCTGACCTCCCACTTCCTGACCTGGCCACTTTCTTTTTCCCATCCTCTCCCTTCTCAAACTGGCACAGGTATTAGTTTGGGTCAATACAGCTTATTGACTAGCAAAATTTTTTATCCCACTGAACTATACTCTCACATTAGCTGACCAAAATCTAGCTTCTTTCCTGTCCCTATTGTAACCCTCTAACATGGAACAGCACATTTCCCCCCAGCTCCCAAAAGAGAAGTTGAGCAAAACTGTCCCAAATACATGTAATCCTGTATTGTTATGAAATGATGCAAATTGTCTCTTTTTATTGATAATAAGGAAGAGGAAGGTCCAAAAAAATAACTAGTTTCCTAACTGAATGGGTTTGAAGAAGGTTGTTTACAAAGCACTCAAAGAAACATGGTAAGAATGAACAGCATCAGCATGCCTCTTGTCATTAATATTCTCCATGTTGCAATCGTAACCAATTTTGTTTGCCAACAAAATTAAAACATCTCTAAGTATTCGCTATTACATTTTAATCTTTGCACTGTATTATGACTTAAGAATTCATCCAGATGTGTCACAAATGAACTTCACTACTTTCAAACAGGAAAAAGACACCAAAAACACTGAAAAATTCCAGCCCTTCCCAAAAACCAGCTCTGATATGTCAAAAAACTAAAACCCACGTGTACAGTTTCACAGCTTTGCTTCCCAGTTCTCAGTTAGCACCCATCTAGTATCATTCACAGTCAAAAAATTCTGGCTGTTTCAAATGTCTGCATCTTTAAGTAAGAAAATTAAACACAGCAAAAAGTTCATTAGTGGTGGAGAGAACAGGTATTTCAAGCCTGTATGTTCCATATTTTATGTCTAAAAAACGAGTTGGGGACCCTGCATTTATCATCTGAAGATGTAAAAAGCATCATTTCCACAGCATACCAAGAAGCCACAGTCATCCAGCTCAACTAATCCAAGAACAATTACTGCACTTTGCCTAAGGCCTGTAGTCCCACAACAAGTTTAAGCTATTCTAAGTTGGCGCTGCTGGTCCCACCTTGACGTACTAAAGTGCTTGTGATCCAGTTCATGGTTCTCAAAAGCAACAGGAAGTTTCCAGCTTTAGTTTTCAGCTGGCTTAGCACTGAAGCGGGTCATCATAGTCATTTAAATCACCAGTAACTGTCACAAAGAAGGGAGAAAGTATGCTTATCCAGGGCTGTGCCAGTGGTACTGAACAGCAAGTATTGAATCAAATTGCCTGAAGAGCAGCCCTGGAACTGCAGCCTGAGATACCTGAAGGAGGCAAATTTCCTGATGAGCAGTAGCACTCAAGAGGCTGACTGATTTTTAAAACTTCAGCAATACAGGTGGATAGTTCCTTCCTGTACCTCCAATACAGCCTTCACAAAAGAGCAAAAATACTAATTTAAGAACACCAGTGATACCTTCAGGAGAAACTCAACATGAGCTCTCAGAAATGTCCCAAACATAGAAATAATTACAGGTTTAGACCCAGTACATAAGAGGTTGTTGAATTGCCCTTAGTGAGAATGATGAAGAGCTGATTTGAACACCAGCAGTTGGGAGGTAGCAAATATTAGCCACTTTTCTTTTGTTGTTAAAAAGAAAATCACTATGATGAACCACGCAACACAATTTACATTTTGAAGATAGGTTCAAAATAAAAAACTTCAACAACTATTATCACAAAAACCTATTAATATTAAACTTGTATATTTTTACACCAATTAGGTATTGCAACAGCATCTAACTGATGTGAAACCTGTCAATAATCAATAAAAGCTTAAATATATTTTTCCTCACATCAAGCATACAAAGCAAATTCACCATTTAGGGAAGGGGGGTTTGAGATTCTTTTTCAACCAGCGTCTCCTCAAATTATAGGTGATTTGCAAAAACTTATTGGAATGTTTACAAGAAGTAAAACATTTACTTGCCTCTACCTCCAAAACTGCTGGATCATGGTTGTCTCTGCTCTTAAAGGAGACCTGAAAAGCAAAAAAAAATTGGGCTTGTGCCCTATTTTGCTTCTTTAAGATGTTTAAGAGAGGCACGAAGAGTTGGAATTAGGGTTTTTATTTTATCCTATGATGGACACAATTTATTCCTTCTTGTTTACACTTGAAATTGAAATCCCAAGACGTCATAATATAAGACAACCTAGTTAAGGGAAATCAATGCAAGAATCAACAGAAGTCAAGTCACAAAAGAAAGAACAAACTTCAGTTTTCTTCCCCTCACCCCCACCTCCTTCAAGTTCTCCTTCATTTCAGTGACGAATAACACAAAATACCTTTCCAGAGTTAAGTATTCCTGCACTATCACTACTGGTGATTTGCACACAGTTTTATGAATTAATATTATACATGCTAAAAAAAAAATAATAAAATCAGCTAGAAATTTGATTGAGGTTGTATTTTAGAATTTTAAGATAAAAAGCAATCAAAAAAAAGCTCAAGTCCTTTTCAGGATCAGAAACAAAGTTTCAAAATAGCAAACTAAGTAGAAAAACAATTTTTAGAAGTTCTTTGCAAATGGGAAAAGAGTGAAAAATGCATGAGCTGGCTAGCTATAAAAGGGAGACAAACATGACTTTCTCTTCCACTACTAACATGCCTGTAAGACAGTTTGTATGTATGCTATAGTGATGCAGTTATCAGAACATAAAAGCTGCTGCAATGGTTTTTCAAAAAAATAGTGCATTTCATCTGATAGCATGAGGCTAATTAAAAAAAAAATTAGAAGTCACATTCATACAGATGCAAATGAGCAAAGAGGATAGTTTATTTTAACTAATACCCAATTACTGTTGGGGCAACCATAATAGCTCATTAATTTTAAGCGAGATGGGATGGTACCATGTAATCCATTCAAAAAATGGTTTAAAGACCTTTCTCTATTCCTTTCACCCACACTTCAACTATGTAATTACTATATATGAAAGAGGAAAGTCCAATTTTTTTGGTAAATAGGGAAGTTAAAAATGTTGCTTATGAAAAACATGCAATCATCAAGAAAAACAAAAGCAGGATGCCTAAACATAAGAAAAAATATAACCAAAGTACATTAAAGTACATACTTAAAACACTATTATGAGAAGTTACACTGTCTTTAAATTCTGTATCACAGATAAACTACACTCAACCAGTACAGGGTTGTAATCAATGTTTTAAGTTAAGACAAATCAGTGAACTGGCTGAAGTTCCTCATCGCTACACACATGGAATGTGAACTTGCTGAAATGCTAAACCAGCATTAGACAGCGTCTACACCCTTCTCTGACAAAAGAGTATTTTATTTTTATATACTCAGATAGGAGTATACATTGCTGATACAATGTACAGTTTAATAAGTATTTCTTTCAGGGACAGCACAGGCTTAAGCAACTTACTCAGATAATTGGACTTCTGCACAAGAGTAGGCCAAAGACCTGGGCATCTTCACCCTAGGTCTAACTCCTCAACTTAGTTCTCTGTGTATTACCAGCAATTATAATGTTCTTTCTCCAGCTGCAACAAGCAGCAGGCACCGATTCAAACAGTACTGGCACTGAATTAAATGCTCCAGTGGCATAATTTAAAGGTGGGTTGGTTTGGTTTTGTTTTCTGTTGTTTTGGGTTTTTTGGGGGGGGTTGGGGTTTGTGG